TTTGGGTTTTGGCTTTAGGCTTTAGGGTTGACAGTTTCGGGCTACAGGGAAGACACTGGACCTGGACTTCAACCTTGAACTCCAAAGTCAAAGCCCTGAATCCTAAACCCCAGACTCAGACAGTCGACACCTGTGAGACCCTGGATCCCGCAGAAACCCTATAAACCCGACAAGCCCATAAATCCAATGAGCCTTATACACCGTATAATTAAACTCCAAAAAACCCTACAAACTCCAAAAGCCTTATAAACTCTAAAAAACCGTACAGTCTATAAACCTTAAACACTCCATCAAACTTATAAAAACTCTGTAAACCCTATAAACTCTATAAACCCTAAGCACTGGTGCCTGAGATCGTCGTAGGTTGCCTCACGAGGCTTTTGGAATCAAGGCATAGGGATGGAGCGCGAATCGGGGTTTAGGGTTTAGGGTTTAGGGTTTAGGGTTTAGGGTTTAGGGTTTAGGGTACTTCTTAGGATCTTGGCATCTTCGCAGCGTAGGCCAAACTTAGCAAAGCCTAACAAGCTTATCTCTGATCTTCCCAGATGCCGCAGACACTGGATATGCTGTAATGGGTATCCCCTACTTCAGGGAGATTGGAAGATCTAGCTACAAAGGCTGGGGTTTGGAAACTGTGTGTGCCCTGCCCGCCCCTGATCAATTGGTCTTCGCAGGTGCTTACATAGATTATCTTGTAGTATCTGATATTTATTTCAATAGAATGCTCATGATAATGTAGAGTTTTCTGGTCTAGTATATGCTGGTTAATGAATATCATGACATGATGCTTACACGCAGAGACCGAGCAAGACAAGCAGCTCTGCTACAAAGCCTTCAACTGGTCTGCACAGCACCGAAGTAGCCTCCCCATTCTGGGTGACCCCAGGTTACGATAGATTCATCGCCGAGAACTGCAGCAAAAGCGTACCGAGCTTCAGGAAAAGCGTACCGAGAGGCGTGGATCTGCTGCACGTTCTTGAGCTGATGCCGCACAGAGCTATTGTCGCCCCCGTAGAGATCATCACCCCAGGTCACGACCGATCCATCAGCAACAACGGCAGCAAAAGCACCTGCTGAGGCTTGGATCTGCCGCACATTCTTCAGCTGACCCTGAACAGCACTACTGTCGCCACCCTTGCTCGCATTGCCCCAGGTAACAACCGAACCATCACCGAGAATAGCAGCAAATGCCGTGTGAGTGGCTTGGATGTGCTGCACCTCTTTCAGCTGATCCTGTGCAGCACTACTGTCGCCGCCATCGCCGGCCCCTCCCCAGGTTACAACAGATCCGTCGCCAAGAACGGCAGCAAAAGCGAAGTCGGAGGCTTGGATCTGTTGCACATTCTTCAGCTGATGCTGCACAACACTACTGTTACCTCCATGTGGAGCATCACCCCAGGTCACAACCGATCCGTCTGTGAGAACGGCAGCAAACGCAAACAGATTTGCTTGAATCTGCTCTACATTCTTCAGCTGGCCCTGCACACCACGGCTGTCACCTCCATTCTGAGCACTACCCCAGGTCACGACAGATCCATCATCAAGAATAGCAGCAAAAGCGTGGTGAGAGGCTTGGATCTGCTGGACACTCTTCAGCTGATCCTGCACAGCATTACTTTCACCACCGTCGCTAGCATGACCCCAAGTGACAACGGATCCATCTCCACGGATAGCAGCAAATGCGCCGGAAGAGGCTTGGATCTGCTGCACATTCTCAAGCTGATCCTGCACAGCACTACTGTCACCGCCAAGCTCAGCATCACCCCAAGTAACGACAGATCCATCACCGAGAACGACGGCAAAAGCACAGGCTGCGGCTTGGATCTGCCGCACATTCTTCAGCTGACCCTGAACAGCACCACTGTTCCCACCCTTGCCGGCATCTCCCCAGGTTATGACAGTTCCATCACCAAGAATGACGGCAAAAGCATGGTGAGAGGCTTGGATATGTTGCACATTCTTCAGCTGGTTCTGCACAGAACTACTGTCACCACCGTTGCAAGCATCTCCCCAGGTCAAGATAGCTCCATCGCCAAGAACGGCAGCAAAAGCTCCACAAGAGGCTTGCAACTGAACTCGGTTTATGTGCAGGGTCAAGGAGTCACCATGCTGAACCTTCGCTTTCTTCACCGTTGTACATGCATTCAGAACACTCCCAGATGAGTCCAGCAGCCGCCCTCTTCCGACTCCAAGCGCGGTCTGTGCCCGACGTTTCAATGTTTCGACCTGGTCCTCCAAGTCTACTTTCAATGCGGCTGCCTTGCCACTGAGCAGCCCAACTTGCACACTTATCGACATGATGCACACCGGAAATTCGCAAGGTGCTGCTGTAGGGTTTGCTTTGGGGCTCAGTCGTGAAGGCCTTTGGGCTTGGGGTGTAGGGTTTGGTATGCAAAGCTGTTACCAAGGCACCCTGGCGTGGACGGAAGGAAGCACCGCTTCTGGTCCCCGTAGCTTCATTAGGCAATCTCCCTTGCATGGTGTTTTCGGTTTGGGTTTAGGCCTGTAGGCTTGGTTCAAGGTGATGCCAATATTATTATTGATTAACGGAGCATTCTTTTCTGAAGTGTATTGGAGGGTCATGGTCCCCATAAACTAAAACCCTAAACCCTAAGACCCTATAACACACTATAACACTCTATAACAGTCCTATAAGAGCCCCCGGACCCTCTATGACAAAAATCACAAGCCCCTTTTCGATGCCTACAAAGATTCCTTGAGCCTATACTGAGTTGTACTAGATTCTACTGGATGAAACTACTGCGGTTTATGGCTTGGGGGTGTCCGAAAGTAGGGGACTCTGATATAACACCCTAAAGAGTAGGATCCTTATGATAAGGACCCCAAAACCCTAAACCCTAAACCCTAAACTCATTTAAGGTTTAGGCACATGACACGGCCCTTTCAAAATTTCAAGACTTCAGGAAACTCTCTGAGCAGGCCTGAAGGTTTAGGGTTTATGAGACCCTACCCGAAACCGTAAACCCCAAACCCCCTAAACCCTGGGGTTTAGGGTTTTGGGTTTAGGGTAAACCCAAAACCCTACACCCTAGAATCGACCGTAGAAGGAGCCTGCAAGTCCATAAAAAACCCTGAAACGCCTACAGCCTCAGACCCTAAACCCTCCCATAAGACCCCCCCTAAACCTTATCAAAGCAAGATACCGTAAATCAGATGAGGGATCATATATTCCCTCATGAAGGGATTTTGGAGGGTCTGAACCCATAGAAAGCCTGCAAGAATCCAAAACGAAAGACCCGTGAGCCTCAGAGTGCAGGGATCGGTCGGTGGGGGGGGGGGGTGTTTAGGGTTTAGGGTTTAAAGTTTAGGGTTTAGGGGTTAGGGTTTAGGGTTTAGGGTTTAGGGTTTAGGGCTTTGGGAGGGACCCTTAATAGGGACCCTTGTAGGTTACTGGGGTTAATATGGAGACTACCTGGCTATAGTAAGGGTCCCTATTAGGGGTCCCTCCTAAAGTCCTTAGAGTCTTGCAATCTGTACTAGATTCTGCTAATACGGTGTAGTGTTTAGGGTTTAGGGTTTAAGGTTTAGGGGCGAGAGTATCGGTCAACGCAATATCACACGTCCCCGGAACCCTCAACCTCAACCGCTGAGCCCTGTTCCGAGCATTTCAGGCCATCTTCGCACCGACAAGTCTCTCGAAAAACGGCCCGTTCGGTTTAGGGTTTAGGGCTTAGGGGGGCTTTGGGTCTCTTGGCTGCGGGCCTCCCGACAAGGACCCCGTACCGGAGGACAGAGAGCTTGGGTAGGTTTTGGAGTTGTGCTGACGATGGTCCCTAAAGAAATGCGTTTGACAGGTGCTGGGCTGTTACAAAAGGGTTTAGGGTTTAGGGTTTAGGGTTTAGGGTACAAAAGATTTTGGGTCTTCTATGCAAGCCGGGACAACCGCACACAGCTTGAGGAACCACACGTCCCGCCCATCCAATGTAACAGCCCATTCAAAACTCGTATGCACCCTGTTAAAAACAAAACCGAGAGAAGGACCCGTAACCCAACCACTACAAAAGCCCTTAAGCCTTAGTAACCAATTCCAAATCCTAATAAAAGCCCTATGAGCATCGAGTTAAAAACCATTATGAAGGCTTTACGACGCCCTTTATAAAAGCCCTTCTAAGTAAGTCCTCTATACAGGACCCACCACTCCAAAACAAGTCTCATAAAAAAACCGATGAAACCCATGGAAACCCTTACCCAGGGACTCCTATCGCTAAGAAGGGTTTAGGGTTTAGGGTTTAGATTCGGGCAAAACCAGTAAATCTGTCACAGGACCCCCTAACTTCAACAAAGCAGTGGGGAGACACACCCTAAACCGCAAGGCCCTATCCCTACACCCTAGATCCTAAAGGCCCCAGGCTAGGCATTAAAAGAACCCTAAAGCCTGGGATGAATAATAGGGGTACCCTTTTTCCTAGTATTCTGTTTTAAGAAGGAGACCCCAAAATAAAAGGGCGCGGCAAAAGGTTACTACTGGGGAACCTAGACCCCTAAACCCCTAAAACCCTTGCGGGAAAGCTTCAAGGAACCCTTCAAGCTTCAAAGAACCCCGAAAGGACCCCTTCAGAAAACCCCAAGGAACCCTGAAAAGAACCCTTCAGGGGACCCTTGAAGGAGTGCTGTAAGGAACCTTTAAAGGGGCCCTTCGACAAAGTTTGAATGAAACCCTGTACAAATCTGGTAAAACCCTGTAAAATCTCCATGGTCGGAGTGAGCCGAATCCCCTCAAACCCTAAACCCTCTACGGTTTCGGGTTTAGGGTTTAGGGTTTAGGGATTTTAAGGGGCTTAGGTTTTTTTTTGTTGAGGGCCTTTTTCCCACCGTACCATGTCCGCAGGAGAGCCCACTAGGGCAGGCAGTCTGTGCCTTCCATTACAGGGTCACCTACGAACCCCGGGGCTCAGGGTTTAGGGTTTAGGGTTCAGGGTTTAGGGTTTAGGGCTTAGGGGTTTGGGTTTATGGTTTAGGGTTTAAGGAGACCCCGGCCTCCCACTCTTTGCGGATCTCATCCTCGCGGTTCGCCTTTGTCACCAGCTCCCCCTGCGGACCATGGAACTTGCTTTAGGGTTTGGGCTGTAGGGTTTAGGGTTTGGGCTGGCGTAGGGTGTAGTGTTCGGGGTGTGAGGAATTTAGGGGGGCTGTCAGGTTCTAAGGGGTGTTGTCAGGATTTTGTAGTCTCTTTGAAGGATTTTGTCGGATGGGCTTGAGGTGGCTTCTACCGGTTCCACACGAGGTTTAGACGGGTTTAGGGTTAACGGCTTCTGCCTCTGGTTGGGTGTGGTGGTGAAGAATTTTGAGCTTTCGCGCTATGAACGCTCTCTCGTTTGGTGTCTTGACTCTCCGACTTTGAAACCTAAACCCTACCCTAAACTGTAACTGCAAGTGCATCTTGATCACATGCTTGCTTAAGTTCTCATAGTACTTGCTAACTAAGTTGTACATCTGGTCGCTATATATGCTTGGAACTACTTATAACCCTCAACCCCGAACCCTAAACCCTGCACTCTCAACCCTAAACCCTGAACCCCAAACCCTAAACCCTAAACCCTGAACCCTAAACCCTAAACCCTCAACCCTAAACCCCAAAACCCTGAACCCGAAACCCTTAACGCACTTCTGACCTTACTAACCGAAGGCCCTACATCCTCCAAGCGATGTCACGACCATGCAGAAGCGCTGCGTTATAATAGGGTTTTGGGGCATATTTTACTGTCAGCATAACAAGGAACCCCAAAAATAGTATCCCTAAACCCTAAACCCTAAACCCTAAACCTAGAGGAAATTATTTAGGCCCCGATATTGCCGTTTCCTAAACAAGGAACCTGGAGGGTGCGGCAAGTAACGTAGGGGCCTTAATAATCAGAATAGAGGGCTTTGGGACCCACTATACCTATAAGTACAAAGAAGGGAACCCCCAAAAGAATATAGGTAGTTATTTAGGCTTCTACCCAAAGACTCCAATACCCCTTAATTAAGGAATATACCTTAAATTATAGTAGGATCCTGAATATGATTCAAGGTATATTCCTTAATTAAGGGGTATTGGAGTCTCTGGGTATAGTATTCTCAACCCAAACTCGGATCCTTTTGCCCAACTGGCGGAATCGAAAAAAAAAACAAAAACGTCTCCAGCTCTACACAGCCCTCGACCCTCGCAAAACCTTACAAAAGCCTTACACCATCCAACGAAACCCTTGCGAAACCCATATGAAACCCTTTGCGAAGTAGAATCCCATGAAGACCCTAGACCCTAAACCCTAAACTTCCCTAAACCCTGAACCCTAATGAAGAGACCCACCTCCAGCTCTCTCAGCCGGTTGAAGAGCATCGTCCTGTCCTTCAGCCGCTGCCGCAACTCCTCAAGCCCACTCTCGGCTTATAGGATTCCTTTTTCAGGTACTCTAGGGTTTAGGGTTTAGGGCTTAGGGTTTGGGTTTAGGGTTCAGGGTTTCGGATTCAGGGTTTAGGGTTTAGGGTTTAGGGTTTAGGGTTGCTTATAAAGGTACTATAGGCTTCACTACAGGGTTCTGTAATCGGGTTCCCTTTAAGGGTACCATAGGGCTCCACAATGGGGTTCCCTCTAAGGGGTCCTGTAAGATCTTATATAGGGTCTTCTGAAAGGTTTACGGGACTTAGTAACTCGGGTTATGGATAGGGTAACTATACTCCTACTTAGCTATATGGGAGTTTCCGAAAATAGGGGACCCTGATATAGTACCCTAAATACTAGGATCCTTATTATCAGGACCCCAAAATAAGGTACCCCTAATTTTCGGAAACTCCCATATCCTTACTAAGCCCCATGATCCTCAGGGTAGGACCTTCAGAATAAGGTTGCGGGGGGATATTGCACTACAAATTTACATCCCGAATCCTGGGTTATACGCTACTATCATAGCTACATAGGGAACTCATATTCAGAATAAGCCATCTACGCGGCTTATAGCAGAACTATATTGGGCCTTCATGATAAAGATTAATCTTTTGGGTTATGTTACTGTACAATACAACTATGCAGTGGAACTATATAGGGCCTTCATAACTAGATTCAGCCTTTGCGTTAAGATACAGTACAACTATACGGTTTATTGTGCAAGTGTTCAGTGCCTTCGTAAGTAGAGTAAGCTTCTCGGTCATGTCATAGTACAAATATGCGGTTTTAATACCACTATATGGGGCCTTCATAATTGGAACAAGCTGTTGGGTTATGCTACAGTACAACTCTATGGTTTGTAGAACTATATAGGGCCTTCAGAATTAGAACAAGGTTTTGCGGAAACACACAAACTTGAGCTATATACAGACTGTATAGGATACTATTGCTACTTGGTGGTTCATGGGACTTTTAAGAGTAGTAGGCACAGTTCAAAATACTTTGACCGGGGCTGTAGCTACTTATACGTATAGTTACCTTTCGTTACTAAGCGCCATGAACCGTTCCACCCTAAACCCTTAAAGATCCCTATGGAACCCTGTCAGGAGCCCCTGTAAGTTCCTTTTTTGAAGTAATGATTCCCACCCCCGTATAGTTTACGGCTTGGCCCTCCCAACCACCTCTAAGAGCACCCTAGGAACTCTCTGCAAAACCTATCAAGGTTTTACAAGGGTTCCTTTAAGGGTGCCTTCTAGGATTCCTTGTGCAAGGCACCATAATGCTTGAGGGTTTACGATCGAAGGCTTTGTAGAGTTTAAGCTTCTTGATCCACAAGGGCTCTACCAGGGCCTTCATAATAGGGCCCGTAAACCCTAAACCGCGAAATCCTCAAGGTTTGGCGGATCCCCCCTAAAAGCCTACGGCCTCAAACCCTAAACCCTAAACCCTCAACCCAAAACCCCAACCTACACCCTTTGTGGTCAACGCTTTCGGGGTCAGCTTCCCCTCATGCGGCTACAGGTGGTCCTCTGCGTGCTCCTGCTTCAGCTCCACGATCCTCTCGCAAAGTGCACTTCAGATCTTAAGGCCCCATAGAAGCATACCATGACGTGCGAGTTACTGGGAGTTGTAAGGGCCTTGTCATAGTCAATGATGAGATATCCCCTTATAGCCCCAACTATGCGAGTCTACTTTCCAAAGTCATCTACGCATTAAAGTTTAGGGTTTAGGGTTTAGGGTTCCCTTAACCCTAAACCCTTAACCCTTTCTGAATTTCCGGCGGGGCTTCCTGGGTTTCTCTAGGACTTCGGGCTTGGAGGCCGAGCGTCCAGGAAAAACAAGGCTAGGGTGGATGATAGAAATCCTGCAGTGCCTTAAGGAGCTTAAAGGGTTCCTTTAAAGGGACCTATAGGGTTTAGGGTTTCGGGTTGATGATATAAATCCTGCAATACCTTAAGGAGCTTAAAGGGTTCGTTTAAAGGGATCTTTACGGTTTAGGGTTTAGGGTTGATGATAGAAATCCTGCATTGCCTTCTGGACCCTAAACTATGGGAATTACGGTACTAGTCTTTATCTTGGGCACCTAAACCCTGAACTTCGGGAATTATGGCCTATTCTTCATTATGGGTGCCCTAAACCCTAAACCCTAGTGCAGGATTTTTATCATCAGCAGTAGGACTTGGACCTCCGAGCTAGACCCGAAAGCCATTCTGCGCGGAGGCCTATGTTGTCAAACCAAGGAGCACGGCGAAGTTTCCTGAACCTTAATACCCAGAGACTCCAATATCCCTGAATGAAGGAATATACCTTAAATCATCTTAGGGCTCCTACTATAACTTAAGGTATGTTCATTAATCCTTAAATCCATCTTAGGGGTCCTACTATAACTTGAAGTATATTCCTTAATCAAGGGATCTTGGAGTCTCTGGGTACAAAAGAAGCCAGATCGTCGAAGCGGAGGTTTGGTTCAGGAAGCTTGACATGCAGGGTTTGGGGTTGAGCTGCGGTTGGTGATATAAATCTTGCATTACCCATAATAAGGAATCTATACCATAACTCCCATAGTTTAGGGTCCTTAAGGTAGTGCAGGATTTATATCATCAACAGTAGGGTGTCAGGTTCATGTCCCTTCTGTTGAAAAAGCTTGGGGTTGAGAGTGGACGGGTTACGCTCCAATTCCGGGCCTAGGTTCACAGGACCTACGTATCCGGACTCTAGAAAGCTCAGCTTTCTACTGTATGACCCAAAAAGCAGACGGTATAACGCTCAAAGGCTAGGTGCTGTAGGGTCCGGGTATAGCTTGAATCCCTGCCTGAACCAAGTTGAGCAAACCCAAAGTTTGAATCCAAGAAATCACCGAATACTACCCTGCATACTAGGCAACTCAAGAAAAGCCAAGACGCTTCAAGGAACTACTGTTGATGATATAAATCCTGCATGCACTACCTTAAGGACCCGAAACTACGGGAATTATGGTATAGTATGGGTAATGCAGCCTTTATCAACCGTATGAGACGCTCTCAATGAATCCTCATAGGACCCTTCTAGAGCCCTGATACAACCCTATCAAGCCCAGCCCCCCAAACTCCCAGGCCCTAAACCCTAAACCCTAAAAAAAACCCTAAACCCTAGACCGTCTAAACATCCTAAACCCTATTTCAAAGAAACTCAGCCCTGAACTCTATTTGTAGCAAAACTCCCCCAAACCTCCATTGGACCCCTCCTTAAGACCACAAGCTCTGGAAACCCTGGAGGTCCTAGCAAAGTCTCCAAAGTCCTTTAAAGGACCCTTGCAAGGTCCTTAGGTATAGGGCTTTGGGCATTGGGCTTAGGGCTGAGGGCATAGGGCTTTGGGCTGAGGGTGGCTCTGCCTCGCATCACGGCGCTGGATCTCCTTCTTGGCCGCCAGCGTCTTCTCGCGCTCTTCCTGTGCGGAGAAGACTTGTTCAGAGTTCCTTGCGGAGGGGTCAGAGTTGAGGGTTTAGGGCCCAGGGTTCTGGGGTTTAGAGTTTTCAAGGCTGTAGGGTTTTAGGGTTTGGGGTTTAGGGTTTAAGAGACCTTACGCGGCTTAGCAAGGGGGGGTTAAAAAGAAGGCCTAGATGTTGGGAGCTGGTTTTAAAACGGCTGTGCAATAAACTGAACGTGGTCTGAACGCAGAACCCCTGCAGCAAATAACCCAAGAATCCCTTTTAATACCACCCAAAGAAGCCTTACTCAATATGGGCTACCAGGGGCTCCCTCAAGAGCCGGGGTCTTCTAGGCCACAAGATCGAAGGTTCAGGGATAAAGCATTCAGAAACCCTAAACGACCCAAACTACCCGAAGCCGGATTTGGGGTTTAGGGTTTAGGGGTTTTATGGTTTGGGCCCCAAACCCCAAACCCCTAAACCCTGCACCCCAAATCCCTAAACCCCTAAATCCCAAAACCTAAACCCTACACTGCCCGGCCCTAAATGAAGCTGATCTCGAAGCCCTGGCCACTCTAAGCCTAAGACCTAAAGCCCTAAACCCAAAGGTGTAGCTTTCGCCTAGACCCCTAAACCCTACCTAAACCCTACACCCTAAACCCTGAACAGCCTCAGAACCCTAAACTTGAACCCCAAACCCTAATCCTAAACCCTAAACCCTAGAACCCTGGGCCCTAATCCTAACCCTAAACTCTAAACCCTAAACCCTAAACCCTAAACCCTAAAACTCTAAAAAAGCCCTAGGACTCTGCTTCATGTGAGCTTCGGCTCTGGAAGTTCTTTTGGGTTTAGGGTTTAGGGTTTAGGGTTTAGGGTGCTCCTCTAAGGGTTCATTTTGGGACACTACAGGCTTTAGGGTTGTGGGCTTAGGATGCAAGTACAAGGCGCCTTAAGGCTGTTTTTTGTTGAAGGGGGTGGGGTTCGGCTTCAATGTTCTGGGGTGCCATGTGGGGCTTTGAGGGTGTAGGGTATTCAGGCTTCAGGGTGTTTAGGCTTTGAGCACAGCACTTTGGGCTTACGAGCTTAAGGTATGTAGGGGTCAGCGCACAGGGCTCGTTGTACATGCAAGTGATCAAGCCAAAACATGTACCACTGACGCGTATGCAAGAGAAAACATTCCACCACAAGCATTATAAGGTGGGGTTTTAGAGTTTAGGGTTTAGGGTTTAGGTTTAGGGTTGAGGGTTAAGAAGTGCAGGGAAGCGCCAGAGCTGGAGATCCAGTTGATTGTGCTCTGCAAATCAGTGCAGGACTCGAAGAACATTCGATAATTTGGTGAAGTTGCAAACGTTTTGGAATGTCTTGTTGACCCTAAACCCTGAACCGTAAACCGAACCTTGGACAACATTGAAGCGCAACCGCAAACAACGACATCCAACTGCTCAAGGAACCTGGTTAAGCGAGATGTCATACATGGATGCTGAACAACATAATTACAGGAACCTGAAATCATTACGAATATATCTATATTTCTATATACAAATATTCTTCCCATAGGGCTCCTCATCATATTCATATTAGTTTAACCGGCAAACCCCGAGTCAAGTCCAATCATCAAGGCCCCTCATAGCAAACTTTCGAGTGCCTCTTACAGTCCTCCTTATGAAGACTCTGACAAGGCCCGCGCGAGGATCTGACCCTCTGCATGCTTCAGCTGGGCCACGAGGATCCCGTACCTGCTGCTGCTGCTACTGTGATGACCACGTGGAGGAAGAGGAGGAAAAGAAAGAGGACGAGGAGGAGCACGAGGAGGAGGAGGAGAAGGACGAGGAGGAAGAGGAGGAGGAGGGGAGGAGGAGGACTTCATTCCGCGCTGCTGTTGCCTTTTGTTTTCCTGACTTTCTGCTGGCGTTTTTTGTGTTCGTGACTTTCTTATTATCGTCCTCATCGTTCTGGTCGTCCTCGTCGTCGTGGCAGTTAGTGACAGTTAGTGTCTTGCACAGGAGCTGCAACCACAGCGGCAGCAGCAGCAACAGAAAAAGCAGCAGGAGCACACTCATGCTGAACCGCCAGAGATAAGTTCTCACCGAAGTGACTCCGACCTCTCTAAAGGAAACAACGCTCTGCCAGTCTGAGATCACAACTCTTGCGGGTACTGTGGGGCTGTGGGGTCCGCTTGGGCTCCGGATGTCACGCTGGACAGAAACGTGTTCGGGTTCGTGGTGCAGTGTAGGCAGCACCCTGTTCGTGAACTTTCTTCAACAAACCCCTAAACCCTAAACCCTACACCTTCCCGCCCCTGAAAGTTCCATGTTCGGATCATGAGCGCACCCTTCTTCCTTCTGCTGGACCCGCTCGTCCCACTTCCTGTCCAGCGCAATGTTGTCCTGCAGGGGCGGGTTTAGGGTTTAGAGTTGGGGGTGTGTGAGAGCAGCGGTCCATTCAGGATCTGTCGTTACCACTCGCTGTGACTTGGTCTCGTGCTTGCATAGCCCCTCTGCCTCTAACACTCAGCCTACGTTCCGGACTTTGGGCAGGAAATGCTGTCCCGTGCTCCTAAAGCCTAAACCCTAAACCCTAAACCCTAAACCTTAGACCTTAAACCTTAAACCCTAAACCCTAAACCCTAAACCCTAAACCCTAAACCTCAAACCCTAGACCCTAAACCGCAGATGCTTAATCCCGGGACCCCAATCCGAGAACGTGAGGCCCCCCAAACTCTTGCTTCAAGCGGGTACATGGTACCTGGGTTATTTTAAGGATTCCGTGAAGGGTTCCTTTAAGGGCTCCTTTAAGGGCTCCTTTGGGGGTTCCTTTAAGGGGTCCTTTAAGGGCTCCTTTGAGGGTTCCTCGAAGGATAATAGTATTATACTACCCCAGAAAAGTTAAAGGCTACATACTCTACATACTCTACTACTAGGTGTACTTGGTGATGTCGGAAAAGTTACCCAGGGGTGACATTATTGATGTAAACCTTATGCAACCCTGAAAGACCCAAAGAAACGTCTGTAAAGCCCGTGAACATAGCCCGACTCAACCAGGAAAAGCTATGAAGCCCTAGAAAGCTTAAAAAAAAGCGGTTGGTAAGCCCTATACAACGCAATCAGAAACCGATAAACCCCCGCTTTAACCCTAAACCCTAAACCCTAAACCTTAAGCCCCAAACCCTAAGCCC